AAGTTGGATCGATCCATCGGTCTAAACAAGTTGGATCGATCCATCGACCTAAACAAGTTGGATCGATCCATCGACCTAAACAAGTTGGATCGATCCACCAGTCTAAACAAGGTGGATGCTCACTGTCTTTGTCTACCTGTTGGATGTCCTGATGGAGGGTGTCCGGGTTCTCGTTCAGCTCTAACCGAGCCTTCTCCGTCGTCTCAGAGCTCAAGCTGTGCTGGACTTGGTTCATCATGGAGCTTCGCTCTGATTTGATTCCAAACATCCAGAATAATTTATTTCAGAGGTTCCTTTAAATCAGTGCCTGGTTGGGTTTTTTCACAGTGTCCAGGGTCTGGACTTCAGAGTCCAACACCGTCCTCCAGTAGGTAGGATTAAAGCTGATGGACACTTCAGGGTGTCTTTGCCCTTTAAATGTAGAACACAATCATAAACGCTTTTTGTGTTTTGTATTAGAGATTTACAAAAGTGATTGTCCACAATCTGTGAAGACAATCAGGACAATCCAGAACCAACAATCATCTCAGCTGTCAGGAAATCTTAGACTTCAGTTTTTGGTCTTCAGAATAAGGAACCTTCAGACGTGTCAGCAGGACAAAGGACAGCAGAGGGCTTACAGAACACAGGCTGGTTCCGTTCTGTGGACCTCATATCTTGCTGAGATGTCCTCCTCGTCCCGCTGCTCCAAGTTTCATAAACCAAACCGTCCAACATCTCAGGTGGACCTGAAGGCTGGAAGGAGCGGGTTGTCTGGTTTCTGTCTGAGATACAGTCGAGCGTCAGTGAAGGCACCGCGGTCCAACATGGAGCTCCTCAACCTGGAAAATAGTGAAGACATCAACATCAAACTGTCTTCTTCAGGACTACATCAGGACAGAAACCCTTACATGTTCTCTACTTTCCTCGTGCGCCAGAGAAGCTATTTTCAATACCAGTGTGGAAATCCCGATATATAATCTGGTGTGAGTTTTTTCTTATAAATGACGTCAAAAAATCCTGTTTAGAAAACGGTCAAAACAAGATTCAGACACATTTTCCAGAAGTTTTCATGATTAAGACAAAACCAGCTGGATCTGATCCTGATCTCAGAGAGATCACAGGAAGTTTCAAAAGACAGAAACCTGAAAAACAACAATTTAAATAAACCCAAATAAATCATGGACCTGTCCTCTGTCCCACGTGGACTTGTCCTTAGTCTCTGTCCCACATGGATCAGTCTCGAGTCTCTGTTCCACATGGACCTGTCTAGTCTCTGTCCTCTGTTTCACATGGACTTATCCTTAGTCTTTGTTCCACATGGATCAGTCTTGAGTCTCTGTTCCACATGGACCTGTCTAGTCTCTGTCCTCTGTTTCACATGGACTTATCCTTAGTCTTTGTTCCACATGGACCTGTCCTCTGTCCCACATGGATCAGTCTCGAATCTCTGTTCCACATGGACATGTCTAGTCTCTGTCCTCTGCCACATGGATCTGTCTCTAGCCGCTGTCCTCTGCCCAGCATGGAACTGTCTAGTATCTGTCCTCTGTCCCACATGGACCAGTCTAATCTCTGCCCCACATGGACCTATATTTAGTATCTGTCCTCTGTCCCACATGGACCTATGTCTCGTCTATGTCCTCTGTCCCAAATGGATCTGTCTCTAGCCTCTGTCCTCTGCCCAACATGGAACTGTCTAGTCTCTGTCCCACATGGACCTATCTCTACAGTCTCTGTCCTCCTTCTCACATGTCCCTCTATGTCCTCTGAGACAGATCAGAATGTCCTCTGAACCTGAGTTAAATAGTCTGAGGTTCACAGATGGATCAGAACCCACTAGAACCGGACCCGGTTTCTGACCCGTTTCCTCAGAAGGAGGCACAGAGACCTGCTCGGTGCTTGGATCCTGGTCCTGCTCGGCCCTCCGGTGGTCCTGATGATGATGAAGAGGAGGAGGAGGAGGCTGACAGCATCCCGCGGACAGAACGGATTAAAATCCAAATAAAAACATTGAAAACAGAATAAACCAAAATAAAATCTAAATGAATGCAGCTGAAGGAGGAGGCGCGAGCTGCGGGGGGAGGAAGAGGAGGAGGAGGAAGATCTCACTTTGTGCTCGGAGGACAGACGTCAGGACGCTACAAATATGGTCAAGTAACCGGAAACTAACCATGTAGTTTCCGGTGCAGACCTTCAAAACAAGAGCACATGAAAACCATCGAGCATCAGCAGGAAGAGTTTATAAATGTAACGTCTTTAGGTTAAAAAATATGTGAGGAAAAGAAAATGTTATTTAATTAAATGAAGCTGAACAGCGGCTAAAATGTTAAAATAGCTTAAAGTTCGTTTCTAATCTGTATAAACTGATGAATCTGTCCTTCAACCGGAAATGATCCCTTTAAGTCATGCGCACTGGGCTTTTATTTTTACAGAACGCTTATGCGATTTCCGGTCTCAGTCAGGTGAGCTTCACTCACCTGCACGCGCCTGCTGGAACAGCGTTGATGCGCGTTCACGGCGCGTACGTGCGCGCGTGTATGCGCACGTCTTTACAGATGATTCAGAACATTTGATTTTATTTCATTTTTCTAAATATATTTTATTGCAAATCTTTAAAGAAACTAAATAAAATATTTTATTAGTATTTTTTTTAATAATTTATTTTAAGCGAAACATTTTCTCTCAGATTCTGAACCTTGTTTTTCTACATTTTTACCACGTTGATAAAAGTATTTCGTCAGTTTCTGATTGTTTAGCTGATTCTGACTCCACTCAATAATTACTTCCGGTTTTTTCAGTAAAATATTTTTTGATAAGTTTTATTTTATGAAATCTTTGTTTTACTAAAAGACAATTGGATTGAATGTTTTTATTTTTTTGTTTGTTTTGCACAAAATCATTTTGTTTACAACAAATGAACTTTTAACAATAATGTGTTCATGTTTCTGAATTTTTAATTGAGTGAATATTTACAATAATTTAGTCATTTATTTAAATTAAGTCTACTTTTAATCTTTTCTCATTTATAACTATTATTGAACAAACATGACATAATAAAATGAAGAATTAATTAAAGGTGGATTCTGTTTAAATTGATTTGAATTGTTTGGAAATAAAATTATTGAAATGACTTTTGTTGTGAAAAAAACTAAAACAATATTAACTGAACTCAAGTTTTATCTATGAACTACAGTTTCATAGATAAAACTAAACTTTAGTATATAAACTATAATTTATCATTTATATTTATCATATTTACTAAGAGGAGATCTATGGATGCAGTTAGAGAGGACATGGAGGTAGATGGAGTGAAGACAGAGGACACAGAGGACAGATGGGACAGAGGACAGAGTGAGGTGGAGCAGGACTCACTGTGAAGACCCTGAAGAGGGAACAGCCAAAAGAAGAAGAATTTAAATTTATTGTCATTTTTACTGAATAATTTATTTCAAAACAAATTTTCTTCTTCTTCTTCTTTCAGCTTTTTCCTCTTCAGGGGTCACCACAGAGTCATCCTTGTCCATCTCACTCTGTCCTCTGTGTCCTCTGTCCTCTGTCCTCACTCCAACTACCTCCATGTCCTCTCTAACTGCATCCATATGTCTCCTCTTTGTCTTTTTCCTGGCAGCTGCATTTCTAACATCCTTCTACCAATATACCCACTGTCCCTCCTCTGGACATGTCCAAACCGCTGTCCCTCATCTGGACATGTCCAAACCACTGTCCCTTCTCTGGACATGTCCAAACCACTGTCCCTCCTCTGGACATGTCCAAACCACTGTCCCTCCTCTGGACATGTCCAAACCACTGTCCCTCTTCTGGACATGTCCAAACCACTGTCCCTCCTCTGGACATGTCCAAACCATCTCAGTGTGTCCTCTAACTTTATCTCCCAGTTGTTCAACCTGTGCTGTACCTCTGATGATCTCATTCCTGATCTTCTCCATCCTTGTCTCTCCTAAGAAGAACCTCAACATCTTCATTTCTGACACTTCCAGTTCTGTCTCCTGTCTTTTTGTCCATGTCTCTGTCTCCAGACCATACAACAGAGCTGGTCTAACCTTTGACCTTTGCTGACACCCTTTTGTCTCAAATCACTCCTGAAACTTTTCTCCATCACTCCATCCTGCCTGGACTCTCTTCTTCTCCTCTTCACCACACTCCCCATGTCCCTGGACAGTGGACCCCAAGTCCTTGAAGTCCTGCACCTTTGTGACCTCTGCTCCTTGGAGCCTCACTGTTCCACCTCCTCCCTCTCATTCACACACATGGACTCTGTCTTACTACGGCTGACTTTCATCCCTCTTCTTTCAAGTGCATACCTCCACCTCTCCAAGTTCTCTTCCACCTGTTCCCTGCTCTCACCACAGATCACAACATCATCTGCAAACATCATCGTCCACGGGGATTCCTGCCTGACCTCATCTGTTAGTCGGTCCATCACCAGAGCAAACAAGAAGGGGCTCAGAGCCGATCCTTGATGCACTCCCACCTCCACCTTGAAGCTATCTGTCACTCCTAAAGTACATCTCACCACTGTCCTGCTGTCCTCATACGTGTCCTGCTGTCCTCATACGTGTCCTGCTGTCCTCATACGTGTCTTGCTGTCCTCATACATGTCCTGCTGTCCTCATACATGTCCTGCTGTCCTCATACATGTCCTGCTGTCCTCATACATGTCCTGCTGTCCTCAGACATGTCCTGTACCTGTCTAACTTCTCTGCCACTCCAGATGTCCTCATGTAACACCACACCTCCTCCCTCAGCACCCTGTCAGATGTTTTTTCTAAATCCACAAAGACACAGTGGAGTTCTTTCTGACCCTCTCTGTTCTTCTCCATCATCATCCTCAAAACCAAGATGGATCTGTGGTGCTCTTTCTCTTCATGAAACCATCCTGCTGCTCAGTCACCTCTCGTCCAAGTCTTGCTTCCACAACTCTCTCCCAGATCTTCTTCGTGTGACTCATCAACTTAATTCCCCTGTAGTTGCTACAACTCTGTACACCACCCTTGTTCTTAAAAATGGCCACCAGCACTTCTTCTCCATTCCTGAGGCATTTTCTCACCCTCATATATCCCATTGAATATTTGAGTCAAAAACTTCACTGCCATCTCTCCAAGACATTTCCAAACCTCCACTGGTCATCAGGTGCCGTCACCTTCTTCGTTCTTTTCAGTGCTTTCCTGACTTCACCTTCACTAATCTTTCCCACTTCATGGTCCACAGTTTATTTGACCTAAAAAAAAAAAGTTTATGTGACCTTTATTTATTAAAATTTTAAGCCCTTAATTTGAAGACTTTTATTGTGAAGGCAGAGTGTGAGCTTGTTTGACTGTGACGTATTTCCGGCTGTTTACGGCTCCTGTCAGCTGTCTGGCGTCTTATCTACCTCGCATTAACCTTTTGCCGTAATATTTTAATTCCAAACCGTTTGTTCCCGTTTTGTTATTATATTTTTACATATTTTAAAGTTTAAACTTCAGTTTTCGGAACGTGTCACTTCGCATTTTGTCGCCGTTTGTCTCGTTTTCAAAGTTTTTGTCGAAACTTGACAGACATTAGCACCACTGCTAGCTGCTAGCCTCCATCCAACCTTTAAATAATCAATCAGCCGATCGATCGGAACCGCAGAAATGGATCAATCAGGACTCGCAGCAGAAACACCCAAAGTAAGACGGAACATTTCCTGAGATGACTTTTATTTCTTGTCTTGTTGGGTGTGACGTTGTTAGCTGTTAGCCAACATGGCGGCGGGGGCAGACGAGTTCGGAACCAGAACTTTGAGACATGACGAGGTTCGGTTCCGATTACAGTTCCTAATAAGGTTCACGATCAGGGAGGGGAACAAACCCAGAGGGTTCTGTAGAACCGTTTTGATATGAACAGAAATGAAATATTTTGTACTATTTATCTATTTAAATTTGAACTACAGGATCCCGGAAGAGCCAAAATAGGCCCCTTCGACAAGATAAGAACAAAACGACAAAACAAGTTTTTACATCAGAAGATGTTTGGACTCCTGAACAGAGTTAAACTCTTTATGTTTTAATTCAGGTTAAATTACAGCTGTCACCTGGAGTCACGTGATGTTTTCTGTTTAATTTAAATCTTTTGTTTTTTGTTTCTTTAACCAGAACCTGAGGTTCAGTTCTGGACGGGTACCGGGTTTGAAAGTCTTTGGTTTGGTTTCTGGTCCTGTCAGAACTTTAAAACAAGAAACAAAACATTTATTTTTGTAGTTTTCGGTCTTCTTCCTGCTGCGTCACACCTGGCAGACATGTCTGGACATGTTCTGGTTCTGACTCACTGGGTTTGTCACGTGACTCAGTCGTCAGTCTGTACAGGGTTTAGTTGACTTCATCAGAACCTCAGAGGTCAGAACCAATCCAGTTCAGCTGGTAGAACTTGATCTAAATCTGTCTCTGATGTTCCTCCAGAAACCGTGGGGCCCGGTGGGCCCAGCAGCACCGTCCTGCTCCCTGACAGATGTGATGAGTGAACAGCTGGCCTCACAGCTGGATGAGGAGAACATCGTCTTCACGTCAGAGTGAGTCCAGATCCACAGAACACGGCTCGGTGCTGGATATTAACTGGGAGCTAACGGGTTAAACCACTGGTTAAACAATCAACAGAATAAACAGCTAAAAGCTAACAAGTCAAAGCGCTAACAGAATAAACAGCTAAAAGCTAACAAGTCAAAGCGCTAACAGAATAAACAGCTAAAAGGTTGGGCCTGGACCTGGGTTTGTGTCCACAGGAGCAGAACTCGGCCTCCTGGTCTCTCCTGTCTCAGATCTTAGAACGGTTCTTCAAATATATGTAACATTTGAACTATTCTCTTAAAAAGCGTGACCTTTGACCTCAGGGAGTCAAACTTAATCTGCTCAAAGGCCGAACTCTTTGATTTTATCACTTTGTTAATAAATCAACGCGTCGTGTTCCAGAAAAAATCAGTTTAAAAAGTCTCATCAGTGAAAACAAGCGGCTGTAGAATGATGGACCCGCTGGACAGAACCGTGTCCTCTGCCCCTCAGCCCTGCGGGGGACCTCCTGCTGGCCCAGGACTTCCCTGACACCGCCTCAGACCTCATGCTGGCCCAGATGCTGCAGATGCAGTTCGACCGCGAGTTCGACGATCAACTTCGTCGGGAGGAGAAGAAGTTCAACGGAGACAGTAAAGGTAGGTTCTGGTTCCAGCCGGACCTCCGCTGCTTCGGTCATACGTTCTGGTTTTGTTCCAGTTTGAGTCCATGTCCTCGTCTCTCTCAGTGTCCATCTCCTTTGAGAACTACCGGATGGTCCACCCGTACGAGGACAGTGACAGCTCTGAGGACGAGGTGGACTGGCAGGACACGAGACGCGACCCGTACAGAGCCGGTGAGCCTTCTGCTGGTTCTGTTCTGTCCGTGGACTCGGGACCCGAAGTTTAACCTTTTCTGTCTTCACGTGGGTCCAGAGAGACCTCAGACGACGCCCAGGAGAGGTTTCAGCGGGAAGGGGAAGAACATCACCACCAAACACGACGAGGACACCTGCGGGCGCAAGAACACGGCCCGGATGGAGAACGTAAGATTGCTCCGACAGAGTCCTGTTCACCGTGAACTTTGACCCTGACAGGAAGTGGTTTCTGTCCTGCAGTTCGCTCCAGAGGTCCAGGTTGGAGACGGCTTGGGGATGGACCTGAAGTTGTCCAACCAGGTGTTCAACTCCCTGAAGCAGCACTGCCACAGTGAGCAGAGACGCAGCGCCAGGCTGCACGAGAAGAAGGAGCACTCCACCGCCGTGCGTCACCTCGGTTCTGACCCGCCGCTGGTTCTGTCCGTCCAGCAGCCAGACCCGGTCCTCATCGGTGCTTCTCTGGGTTCTGTCTCTTCAGGAACAAGCTGTGGACCCTCGGACCCGTCTGCTCATGTACAAGATGGTGAACGCCGGGGTTCTGGAGAACATCAATGGCTGCATCAGCACCGGCAAGGAGTCCGTGGTGTTCCACGCCGACGGAGGGAGGTGGGTCCACCGGGGGGGGGGCGCAGGAGGTCCGAGCTCAGATTCAAACCAGAACTTCTTGTGTTTCAGTCTGGAGGAGCAGCCCGTCCCAAACGAGGTGGCTCTGAAGGTCTTCAAAACCACCCTGAACGAGTTCAAGAACCGAGACCGCTACATCAAAGACGACTACCGCTTCAAGGACCGCTACAGCCGGCTGAACCCCCGCAAGGTCATCCGGCTGTGGGCCGAGAAGGAGATGCACAACCTCACCAGGTACTGGGGGTCCGGTCCGGGTACCATGGGTCAGGGACCGGGGGTCTGGTCCGGGTACTGCGAGTACCAAACGGGTCCAGACTCGGAGGGGAACACATTTCGGTTAAACATTAGATTCTTTGGTCAGAACAGAACCGGTCCACTGACCGACCCGTTTGTCTTCAGGATGAAGAAAGCCGGAGTTTCATGTCCCGACGTGGTTCTGTTGAAGAAACACATCCTGGTCATGTCCTTCATCGGGAAAGACCACGTCCCTGCCCCCAAACTCAAAGAGGTCCAGCTGAGCCCCGAGGACATGAAGACAGCCTACCACCAGGTGTTACAGGTACAGACAGGAAGTTCACTGGTACAAACAGGAAGTTCACTGGTACAAACAGGAAGTTCACAGGTACAGACGGGAAGTTCACAGGTACAGACAGGAAGTTCACTGGTACAGACAGGAAGTTCACTGGTACAAACAGGGAGTTCACTGGCACAGACAGGAAGTTCACTGGCACAGACAGGAAGTTC